CGGGTGGGGGGGTGGGGAGTGGCGCGGGGGTGGAGCCGTGGGACCGACGGCGGAGGCGGCGTCCCTCCCATGGGCACCCCAAGGGGACCGGGCACCCAAGCGGGGGCTGCGCCTGCACCCGCGGGCACCCTGATGGCCGCAGCTGGGGCTGACCCCACGCGGGCACTGCGCCCCTGGGGTGGGGGGACACGGCAGGCTGCGCCTGTGGGGCCGGTTGTGCCCGTGGTATGGGGAGGGGGCACCAGGCAAGGCTGTGCCCGTGGGAGAGACAGGGCCGGGGCAGAGCTGTGCCCGGGGAGATGATGCTCTGTCATGGGATGGAGCAGGCTGCGCCCGTGGGATCGAGGGGGCACGGGGCTGGCTCCACTCATCAGGCAGAGATGGGGCAGGCTGTGTCCGTGGGACGTGTCTGGCTGTGCCCGTGGGGCAGAAGGGGCCAGGGCAGGCTGTGCCCTGGACCACGCAGGACTGTGCCCATGGGGCAGCACGGGATGGAAAAGGCCGTGCCCAGGATCGTGTGGGGCAGAAAGGGGCCAGGCAGCGCCTGGGGCTGGGCCTAAGGGGCAGAAGGAGCCAGGCGCTGCCTGGGGCCATGTGGGGCTGTGCCCCCCTGGCCGGGGGGTAGCGGGGCACAGAGCTGTGCCGGCGGAGGAGAGGCCCAGCTGGGCGATGTGTGGCCAGGGCTGGCACGTGCCACAGCAGGTACGGGGCTGCCTGTCCCCAGACCCGGCAGATGCGGGGGCTGCGGCTGCGTGGGGCCACCCGGGGCAGCTGGCACGGTGGTTGCTGCACCCCTGTGTGCCTCTGCCCTGCCACCGCGGGAGGGGACGATGCAGTGGCAGGTGCACGGTGACATGCATTTGACAGCTCGTGGCTGGGTTGGAGCAGGGGCGGCGCTGGGGTGCTGGCTCCCCCCGCGATGTGGGCAAAGTGTTGGGGCGCCCCCCCCCATGCCCCCCCACCCCCCTGGCCCGCAGGCAGCCAGTCGGACGCCTACCGCAAGGCCTCGGCAGCGGGCTGCAGCCCCTGCGAGTCCAGCCCGGCCGCCACGCCGCTGGGCGAGCCGGGCACCCGCGCCTTGGGCGACGAGACGCCGGCAACGCCCAAAGGTGGGCGCAGGGCTCTCACTGCCTGCCCCTGCCTGGGGCTGCCCGGGGCTGCCCGGGCACATCCCCGCAGCCTATCCCCCCCGCTGCAGCCACCTCGCCTCCCCTGCAGCCCCTGCTGCCACCCTGCTGCAGCCCCTGCTGCAGCCCTGCCAACCTCCCCTGCATTGCTTAGCGTGTCCATGCTGTCCCGTCTGCATCCCTTGGTGTATCCCCCCGCCGTCTCCCCAGCACATCCCCGCCGTAGCCGCTGCTCCGCACCGGTGCATCCCCGCCGTCTCTGCTGCATTCCCCCAGTGCATCCCCCCTGTCATTGGTGCATCCCTGCTGTCTCCAGTGCATTTTCCAACACCAGTGCATCCCTGCTGGCTCTGCTGCATGCCCCCATGCATCCCCCCTTTCCGTACTCTGCAGCATCACCCCAGCGCATCCCTGCTGCCTCTGCTGCATCCCTGAAGGCAACTCTGCCCAGTACGTCCCTGCCAGTGCTGCTGCTTCCCTCCGTGCATCCCCCCATCCCACTGCATCCCAGCCAGCTCTGCTGCAGCCCCGCCATGTGTCCCTGCTGCGACCCCACTGCCCCCTTTGCATCCCTTGGTGCATCCCAGCTTTCTCTTCTGCATCTTCCCAGCGCACCCCCTCCCTGTCCCCTCCT